CATCGGGCTCCCTGCTCGGCGGGAAGCCTGCTTCTCCCTCTCCCACTCTCCCTGCTTGTGTTCCCTCTCTCACTGTCTCTCTCTCTGTTAAAAAATAAATTAAAAAAATCTTTAAAAAAACAAAACAAAAAACAAAGCATCACAAAGTAAATGGTTTGTTGTTGTTGTTAATTTTAGATAGTTAACATACAGTGCAATATTGGTTTCTGGAGTAGAATTCAGTGATTCAGGGCACCTGGGTGGCTCAGTTGGTGAAGCATCTGCCTTTGGCTCAGGTCATGATCCCAGGGTCCTGGGAATTAGCCCTGCACTGAGCCCTGCATCAGGTTCCCTGCTCAGTAGGGAGTCTGCTTCTCCCTCTGCCTCTCTGTCCCCTCCCCCCTTGTGCTCTCTCTCTCTTTCTTTCTCACTCACTCTGTTTCTCTCAAATAAATAAATGGACTCTTTAAAAAAGAAAAAAGAAAAAAAAAAGAATTAAGGGATTATCACTTAGATACAACACCCAGTGCTCATCCCGACAAGTTCCCTCATTAATCTCCATCCTGCATCTCCCCTCCCCTCCATCAATCCTCAGCTTGTTCTCTATGGTTAAGAGTCTCTTATGGCTTGTTTCCCTGTCTCTTTTTCTCTTTTCCCTCTTCCCATATGTTCATCTGTTTTCTTTCTTAAATTCCACATATAAGTGAAATCATATGGTATTTGTCTTTTTCTGACTGACTTACTTCATTTAGCATAATACACTCTAGCTAAATCCATGTTGTTGCAAATGGCAAGATTTCATTCTTTTTGATGGCTGAGTAATATTCCATCGCATATACATATACCACATCTTAAAAAGCAAATGTTTTGCTTTGAGTTTTCCTTCACAAATACCCTGCTCCTTATGTGGGAGATGTAGCTATTACTACATTCCTATGATCTTATTTTACTTTCAAGTCCTTGGGTAAGAAGTATTTATTTAAGGGCCACTGAGTGACTCAGTCGGTTAAGCGTCTGCCTTTGGCTCAGGTCATGATCCCAGGGTCCTGGGACTGAATTCCACATCAGGCTCTCTGCTCAGCAGGGAGTCTGCTTCTCCCTCTTTCTCTCAAATAAATAAATTTTTTTTAAAAAGAAGTATTTCTTTAAAAAACAAATGTAAATTTTTTTTTTAAGATTTTATTTTTAAGTAATCTCCACACCCAACGCAGGGCTCGAACTCACAACCCTGAGATCAAGAGTCACATGCTCTACCAGCCAGGTGCCCCTAAAAAACAAATTTTAATCTTAATCTTTGTGCTTTTTCCTCCCCCAGAAAATTAAATTAAAAATAAATTCTATTAAATTACAGGAAATAGTTATAGTATGACGTCCAAAGTGCTTGGAGCTAGATATTTGGGTTCTACCGCTTAAATTAGGAAAATCATTGACTCTCTTAGTGCCTGTTTCCACATACGGATAATAATACCTGCCTCATGGGATGGACAGGAGAATGAAATGATGCATTTAGCACAGGGCCTGGCCATAGTCAATGCTCAGCAAAAGTTGTCTTCTTTTTTCTTTTTCTTTCTTTCTTTCTTTCTTTCTTTCTTTCTTTCCTTTCTTTCTTTCTTTCTTTCTTTTTTCTTTCTTTCTCTCTTTCTTTCTTTCTTTCTTTCTTTCTTTCTTTCTTTCTTTCTTTCTTTTTTTAAATTTATTTACCCATTTTAGAGAGAGAGAGCATGAGAGGGAGGGGCAGAGGGAGAGGGAGAGAGAATCTCAAGCAGGCTCCACACTGAGCATGGAGCCCAACATGGGGCTCGATCTCACAACCCTGAGATCATGACCTGAGCTGAAATCAAGAGCTGCGCACTTAACTGACTGAGCCGTCTATGTACCCCTAAAAATAAAATCTTTAAAAAAATTATGATAAGATCACTTCTCAGCTTTTTGGCTAAGATCAAGTGTAAAAATACTATTATTAAAAAAAAGAATCTAATCAAACCATAAGAGACTCTTAATCATAGGAAACAAACAGGGTTGCTGGAGGGGAGGTGGGTGGGGAGATGGGGTGACTGAGTGATGGACATTAAGGAGGGCACGTGATCTAATGAGCACTGGGTATTATATAATACTGATGAATCACTGACCTCTACCTCTGAAACTAATAATACATTATATGTTAATTAATTGAATTTAAATAATGAAAAGAGTCTATTTGACTTTAATGAAAACCCAGTAATCATCTAGGTAGAAGAATCTGCTTCATGAAATAGGCAAATCCTTCACATTGTATGTTTAGAGTTTTCAGATATTGATTTCACTAATATATAATCTAATATTAGAGCCCCCACGTAAGGGCCTATGCTCTGTTTTATGCTCCATCTTTGACTCACAGTAAGATCTTGGGCAAGTCACTGACATTCCCATACTTCAGTGAGTCAAACTAGCCAAAAAACTAAAGCATGACCTCACTACAAACCCAGTAGACTTGAAAGGTGAGATGTGCTTTGATAAATTAAAGAATTAACAAAAGAAAACTTAAGCTAGTAAAACCATATAAAGAATCGGAATAATGAATTTTACTATAATGAGTAAAATGATTCTAAAATGTACAGTTTTTAGCAAGTAAAATCATGAAAAAGTTTCAAAGTTTTTTATTTGGGTGAAATTGGTTAAATGACAGGGGGAGAAATATTATTTTCAAAATCATGGATTATAGCAATTTAACCAAAATAATTATAAGGAATGGAAGACAGAAGCTAATGAGTCCTTAATAATTAAACACATTTCATTTCCAGGACATTATTTCCCCTTACTTATACAATGTGTATGGTATTTTAAAATGTATTTCACTAGGTACTATATGAAAAACCTGACAAAAGAATACAAATTCCTTTAGAAATGAATTAGTTTTAAGATGTATTTGGCCATTTAGACTTGTAACTCACCAAATTATTGAATATTCTTTAAATTGATTTCTAATTAGTCCCTTTCCCTCTATTTCCCTGTTTCCAACTCTCCCACTCAGGTTTCCTGCCATAAGCAAGCACAAGATGAAGAAGAAGAGGAAGAGGAGGAGGAGGAGGAAGATGATGATGATGACTGGGGACTTGTGAAATAAATGTCTTTTTCATCTGCAGAGAGAAGGCAACACCATTCCCTGGCTTGCTGCTGCAGCCTCTCTTTAAACTGAATAGCAGGTTCACCCTTTCTGCTGCATTTCAGAAGGAACAGCAGTAAGAACAGTTCCACAGAGGTTATCCCAGAAGTCTTGTGGCATCTGCAATGTGCCTGAACATTTTTCCTTTTTAAAAAAACATCTTTCTGCAAATTTTGTCAAAGCCAGAAACAAAGGTAACCAAGGGAAGCCCTTTCTAGCAGAGTTTGTCAATTACACACTTTGCACATTCTCTGAAAGAGTAAACAAATGATAAATTGCAACTGTTGTCCAGGCCTTGTAAACAAAAGATCAAATTCTGTGGGCTGCCTTGGCAAGAAAACTAACTGCAGCATTTTGTCAAGATTTTTACAAGTTCTGATTTCAAATTAATAACTGAAATTGCCCTTTTCCTTGTTTACAGAAAAGCTGAAAACATTAGTAAATTTAAAGATAAAATATTTTAAAGAAAGGAACAGAATCAAGATTGTACATTAAAATATAATCTAGCTCCATTGTAGAGACAACTTGATGTTTGTTTCAGCTCTAATTAGAAAATTCTAAGTGCCTATCTTTTTCCTTCTTTGTTTTTCTGAATAAAGACCTGATCCCTCTCAGGACCAGGAAAATTAAGACAAAATAAAAATCAAAGCATGGGTTTTAAGGTCTATGGAAGAGTCACACAGGTACATTAATTTCAGTTAAACCCAGAGCCAGGGTGAATAGTATTTTTCCGTAGGAAACAAAACAGTTAAGGGAGAAATATTACTCAGGCATACAAAAAATATTCAGTGGAAACGTGAAAACATTAAAAGACTGGCTAAGCATATGAGCATGACACAGATTTAGCAACTCAGCATATATAATGTGTCAGAAATTGCTTCAAATTCTTGTTTTTTTTGTTTTTTTTAAAGATTTTATTTATTTGACAGAGAGAGACACAGTGAGAGAGGGAACACAAACAGGGGCAGTGGGAGAGAGAGAAGCAGGCTTCCCACGGAGCTGGGAGCCCGATGGGGGGCTCGATCCCGGGATCCTGGGATCATGACCTGAGCCGAAGGCAGACGCTTAACGACTGAGCCACCCAGGTGCCCCTCAAATTCTTAAGAGAAAAAAACATCTGACCAATTTCTCGCGCGAGGAAGACTGTCATGCCCCTTCCAGACCCTCTCCAAGGCAGGGGAAGGTGTGCAGTCAATTCCTCTGTCCCCAGCTCCCCGCGGCCGCCCCCTGCCCCAGGACCTCCTGAAACACCCCGAACGGAAGGCGGCCAGCGGGAGACCCCGGGGCGCCGGGCCTAGGGGACCCGGCTGCCCCAGGAGAAGGTGTACAAGATGTGAGGTGAGGGGGCTGTCCCACAGGTGCAGGTGGGGCTGGGGTGAGAGGCGGACAGCTTCTCACGTCCAGGGCCACCCCAGGTCGGGGCTGTGGAGGCACTCTGCCCTAGTCCAGCCCCAGATGGGACCGGGGATTCCTCGCCCCACCTGCCTCTGCCTCTGCCCCAGCCCCACGACCTCTCGCCTCTCTCCTAAACGTTCGCGTCCCGGGCCCCCAGCTTGGGCCCGCGGCGGGCGCGCCGGGGGCGGGGCCAACCGGCCGAGGCCCGGCCCTCACAGCGCCGCTCCGAGCGAGCCGGCAGCGGCCGTGGCGGAGGGATACGGAGCGCCCTATATATACCGCGGGGCGCAGGCTCGCGCTTCGGCAGTGGTGCTGGGAGCCTCGCGGGCGCGGCGCCGTTACTCGCAGTCGGGCGGCGGCAGTGGCACAGCGCTGAGCGCACATCGCGCCTTAGCAGTAGCAGCGGCAGCAGCAGCGGAGGCGCCCCCGCGGTCACAGCCCCTGCGCTGGTGCAGCCACCCTCGCTCCCTCTGCTCTTCTTCCCTTCGCTCGCACCATGGTAGGTCGGGAGTGGTAAACGGCGGCGTAGCAGCTGCCTGCCCATGATTTCTTCCCAAATTTTTAGTTCAGCGCCCCCCCTTTTTTCGAGGGGTTTCCTCTTTTCCGGGTGTTACGCAGCAGCTGCAGTTAAGAAGGACGCGTTTTGGATTTGCATTTCGCTTTTCTCGGCCAGGGTTTCTTATTTAAATTCCGGTCCCTCTTGGAACTGGACTTGGCCGTGGGCTGTCCGCGGGCAGGGGCTCCGGCCGCAGCTGCACCGGGGCCTTCGCATCCACCCCCTCCCCCAGCCCCGCACCACTGCATCCAGCGCGCCGCACCCGGGCTTCCCGCAGCGTTGCGCCTGGGCCGGGGCCCCGGGGGGCGGGGGAGCCGGGCGGGGCCGGGGACCCGATCCCCTCCCAACCCCCCCCCACCCTAGGTACGGTGGCGGCGGGTCGGGCGGACTGCGGAGAATGAATGGGCCCGACCTAGCCGGTGGCGCACATTGCTCGGGCCGGGGCTTGGGGGGGCGCAGCCCCCGTCCACCTCCCCCACCCGGCGACCCCGCTGGGCGCCCTGGCTCGGCAGCTCTCCCTCCTTCCTCCCGGGGGGCGCGGCGCGGGCGTGGGCTGGGAAGGAAGGAGCCGGGGAAGGGTGGGGTGGGGGCAGGAAGGCGAGGGGTGGGGGGCGGAGAGGGCGGAAGCGGCGGGCCGGCCGCCCTGCGGCCGGGCGGGGCCCTGCGGTGTGGCCGGGGCTCGTGTTCGCCTGTTTCGCACCCCTGCAGCCCCCCGCCCAGTGCGGCAGTGAAGGCGTGCGTGATCTTCTGTACACCGGGAGGTGCCTTCCCGCGGGAGGCACTGGGCTCACGCTAATTGGGGCGGGGGGGGGCGGGGGAGGAGGGAGCTGGCGCGCGGCTCGGTTTCCATTAGAGACGCAAAGTTTCTGCTCCGGGAGGAGGCGGCGGTGCGGCTCGCCGCCTGGGGGAGCAGAAGCGGGTGGGAGGCGCGGGGCGGGCTTGGTCCCCTCTAGCCGCGCGGTCCCGGAGCGGGGGTGGGAGTGGGGGGTGGTCCTGGCCAGGGAAGGGCGGTGCCCCCGCCCTGGGGCTGCCTCGTTCCTCCGCACCCCTCCTGCTCTCGGGGCACGCACGCCTGCCTGGCCCCTCGCCACTTTGCAGTCCGCAGGGAGATGCCCTCCACGTTTCCGCTTTCTCTGCAGCCTCTAGATTGCCAGATGCGCCTGTGCGCCTCGCTGGGTGTGTTTTCTACAGCCCCCTTCCTCCCTGGGCGGGCTGGGCTGACATCACCCACAGCGCTTTCTGGCTTGGCGGGATGGGGAGATGGCTCCCGACAGGTTCAGAGCACCTTTACCCTCTAGGCCAGAGCGATGTGGGGCCGGCTGTTTCTTTATGGAGGAACGCTGATGCTCTCGAAAAGCTCTCTAACCAAGAGAGTTTTGCGGTGAGGTGGAACTGTTCTCCCCGGTAATGTGACAGCTCCTCGTGCGAGGTGTGGTAGGGCTTCCTGTTGTACAGACAGATGTCCTGGCGTTACGTAAATCATCGTGTCTCCTTCATTCGATATAAAGAAAACCGCCTTCCGGTGACTGGGGTAGAAAGGAAGGAAGACCCAATTCTAATTTAAATAAGTTTTCCTCCAAATCAGTATATCAGAACACCACACCTATTAGGAAAGTTTTCATTTTGAGAGCATAAACATAACGTGGTTAGCTTTCTATTGGGACTGACTTTGTAACTGGGTTCATTAGGTGTACTTCAATAAAATAAAAATACAGGCTAGCTCTCCTTGCATTCTCCAAGTCCCCCCGGCTGGATGCACAGGTCACAGGTTCCGTGTTGCAGAGACCAGACATACAAGTGCGAATTACCTTCATGGCCATCACCACCTGAGTAAAGTGTGTTTATTACAAGCAGCTCTTATGTCATACTGAAAATTGGTAGAGTGAATATTCTCTAGCAAAGTTGGTAGTTGCTCTTTTTCCAGAAAAGACGAGGTATAGTCTCATAATTATTATGTACTTTTGTGTGTACTTAAGGTTTGCAGTTTTGTAACAGTTAAGTCGTAGAGTGGTTGCATTTTTTCCTGGCCGCTTTATCAAAGATAATTTGAGGACATCAGCCATTATAAGTGGGAGGCTTTTAATAAATAACTGCCTAATTTAAGTGGAAAGCATTTATTACTTGGAAATGAAGTTGGTGGGGGTAACCCATTGCTGTGTATTTATTTTTTGCACTTAATTGTATCTCATAAAATAGATATGAAAGGCTGTTAATCCAACCCAGTGCCATTATGTAATGCCTATTTGGAGATTTTGGAGCGCCTGCAGCAATGCGCAAGGTGTGCTCAAAGCCTGCCCCTGGCCGGGATCCTGGCTGTGGTGACAGCAGCGTCAGGCTGGGATTCTCGGATGGAAGGGGGGGACTGCGGTGTCCCTGGCGCAGTAGGTGGCGCTCTTCTTTCTCCGAGCTTGCCGCTGCATCTGATGTGGTGTGGTCTTTTGCCACTAGAGGTGCCATTTTTCAAATTATGAACTGACCCTTGTTAGACCTGGGAGCACACAGCCAGAGGCCGAGCAAAGAAAACCTGAAGTGAAATGTTGTCACTTCTTTGTCATCCTTTGTTTTTTAAAATCCCATAAAGTGTTCCCTTTATTCTTATTGTTTTCATTTAATGGCTAACAATTTCACATGGTTGGCTTTTTTCTTTTAAAGAGTGATTTTTGAAAGGTCAGTATCAAAAGTATAATTGGGAAAACTCTGTTGCTCTCAATCAAAGCTTGTGCACTGAGTTATAACCTCTTCTTTCTTTATGTAGGCTGATCAGCTGACCGAAGAACAGATTGCTGGTAAGTTGTGATGACATCAGGGAGGCCCCGTAGTCCAGAACTAGGCACGACTCCGTTCCAGCTGACTTCTCTGACCCTTCCCCCGACTAAAATTTGAGCAGTTTTCTAAGAACTTCTTTAAATAGAAGCAAGAAGCAGAAATATTTAGGTCAGGTGTTAATTCCTTGCCAGTATTTCAGAGGCAGTGTGAAAGGAAGTGGGACTAGCCTACTTGCTCCGCTCTGCAGTGTTGGCTTCACGGTGGTCACGGCCCTGCCTACCACGAGAGTGCCCGGAGCCTGCTGCTCCCAAATGGCATTGAGAATTCTTAGGCCACAGGCCTTTTTGTAATTCACCACGAAGGCTTGTGTTTGCCATTTGGAAATACGTGGGGATGGGTGGAGATGAGGGTTAGGACTACTATAATAGTTGGGTAGGGAGTTAGTTTAGATTCTAGCTTTTAGTATTACTTGGAGGACTTTTTTTTGAGATGATTTCTCTTTAGGAAACCAGGGATGCCTTTGAAATGCCTTAAGTGCCAGCTAGAGAGAACACGCTGGTTACCTGGGAATGTACGTGTCTGTAACCCCTTCCTGTTTGAAAGGTGTTCCTGTGGCTGTAGCAGTTTATCAGGAAGGGGCCTTAAAAGGGAACCCGCGGACCAATCTTCACTTGTCAGATTGGATTGAGGACTAATTTAAGTGTGTTTAAGCTTAGTTTTCTTTAAAAATATGAGAATACTGTGGTTTTATGGAACCAGTAACCAGGAGCAGTGTTTGCTTTATGGACTGTTGAATGAAGGCCGATCCAGTAGGACTATTGTGGTCTTTATTTCAGGAGATAAAGACTGGGCAGTTTCTGATAATTTGCAGACTTGGCGTAAGAATTCTCAATGCCATTTGGTTTGCTTTGGCAAGCCCCCCAAGGGAAGTGTGTGCTATGGCCGGTTTGGGTAAAGATCTTCATTCTAAAGGGTAAACTTTTGTTTTCAGAGTTCAAGGAAGCTTTCTCCCTATTTGACAAAGATGGCGATGGAACCATCACAACAAAGGAACTTGGAACTGTCATGAGGTCACTGGGTCAGAACCCAACAGAAGCCGAGTTGCAGGATATGATCAACGAGGTGGATGCTGACGGTGAGGGCTCAGACCTGTGAATGAGTGCCAGTGTTGTGTAATTCAAGTTCAGACATGTCACAAGATTGTCTTTCAGGTCCCCAGAGCAAAGCAAATACGCAGCGCTCCTTTTGGTGGTTGCCTGACGGGCCGTTGACAATGAAAATAGAAGATTATGGGCCGGCCTTTGGCTGTGCTCACTGTCTAGAACATTTCCTGGATCAGATCGGTGTATTGTTCTTTTCTACTTGCCGTGACCTACAGCTCAATCTTTTTTATCAACTAGCCCATGAGTCTGCACTGAGTCTTTTGGGGAAGTAAAAATAAATAGCCATAGACCGTTTCAAAAAGCTGACTGTCTCCAGGAGGAGTGGGAAGTGAAGTGGGAGAAGAGCACTCTTAGACATTAATGTAGAATTGACTATAGCGTGAGCTGCAGATGTGTTTATTACAGAGAATTTTGAGGATCATGTAAGGATTGGACATGGAGTGCTTGATGACTGGAGGGAGTAGATTATGAACCTAACAGAAGGGGAAGATGAATAAAGTGCAGAGCAAGAAGGAACAAGCAGTACCCCCTGTAACGGGGTCACCAACTGGTCACTGATTCCTCTGGACTCTAGAACAGTGGACAGTAGATCTTTTATTGCCCACTTTTTCTCAGTAAGCAATTCTTGAGTATTCCCCTCTCAAAAAACTGTTTTTTTGGAAACCATTTATATGCAGCTAATATATGACATTGTAGAACATGGTAAATTTTTTAAAAATGAGCTAAGAATAAGCAGTTTGGATCTAGACTACTTTCTAGATTATTGGCTTGAGAGTAACCATTTAAACATATGTATCATTAGGGGATAAAGTAGAATTAAATTTGGTCATGTATATTTAGAAGCAGGGGTTTTGGGTGAGCTCTTTAACAAGTGGTTTCAGCTTATTCAAGCTACTCTGGAGAGAGTGTTCATCCATATTAATGTTCTGGAAAAGGGGTAGTTCATAATTCCCTCTTGTTTGACTGCTAAGATGATTGGCCATCTGGGAACATGGGGTGGCCACCCCCCATCTTATGTGAGCCCTGAGAAACGGTGCTTAGGGACTGGCAAATGGATTAGGCTCTTAGATTGTATGGGACAAGGAAGGAGTGAGTTGTCCCAGGCCACAGAATCTAGTATTTGTATTGAATAAATGTAATGCCTAAGGGTGTCTTCTCTGCATGACTATGAGATAGCACTTCGAATAATTTACTTCGTCTTGCATGAATACCATAATGCTTTAAAATTTTGGAGGCCAAAGGGATTTCTGAATTATTATTTTGATTTAAAGGTGCTGGTGAAAAGGAATAACTTAACCTGAGGCTTTTTTCTTCTAATTTAGTTTTTGTTACCCTTTAATTCAAGTTACGTTGTTAATCTGCTGGCTTGTCTTTGAGGGGTACTCACCTAACTCTTAGCTTTAGAGGGGGAAGTTATTTGGAATACTGGCTGTAGAACAGACTTCTTCTGACCCAGTTTCCTAAGTGGTAATGGTCTGAGCTATGAAAACACTTCCGAGCCTTGCCCTTAATGGGGAAACAAAGACCCTGAGTTGGAAAAAAAAAATGATTAGGTGATTTATCATCAGAATGTGGCCAGGAAACACCTTCTGGGGAAGACTGTGTGATACTTTATGGTCCGTGGCATAAGAAAGTCCATTTTCTCCCCTCCTGTAATCTTTTTCTTCCGTAAAAACATTTTGTTGTGCTGGTGGGCCAGTTCTGGGCCTTGACCAGCATCATGAGCCAAGGCAGAGGTAGGACCGAGGGCTCACCCCTCACTTGGGCGGGGGGAGACAGTCTCGAGTCCTTCCCTCAGGAATGAAGGGTGCTGTGGGCTTTCTGCTCTTGAACTGCATAACCGCCTTTAGCAGTCAAGAATCTACACGTGCAGTTTCCTTTGCATCATGAAGTGCTCTCCTGGACCTCGATTACTAGTTTGAATTAATATGTGAAATTGCCCTGTGAAGTATTTGAACAGTTGAGACTTAGAAATGGTTTAACCTCATAGAATAACCGATTGGTTTGTCCAAGTGAGTCTTAACCGTTCTCTAAAGTGCTTTGAAGATTATCACTGCTGGGGAGGGAGCATCACTGGAGCATTTATTTTATGTGAGCTTTTGTTTTTTAATTTGAGGAAATGGCACCATCGACTTCCCAGAATTTTTGACCATGATGGCTAGAAAAATGAAAGATACAGACAGTGAAGAAGAAATTCGCGAGGCATTCCGAGTCTTTGACAAGGTAAATCTGCGTCCGTGTTGCAGACCGTCCCTATGGACAGCTTCTTTGCTCCCATTTCTGAAATACTTAGGACACTTAAACCGAATTGCCTGGGCCTCTGTGGTGATCTCACTTTGAAATAAGCCGACTTAACTGCAGCGACCTTAAATTGGGTGAGGGTGAGCATAAGTAGTGGGGAATTCTGAACCAAGCTTCTTGATTGCTGCTTTCACTTTGTTAGCGCTTGTCAAGCCCCTGCATTTTCGGTGCTCACCGAGGGCTTGCACTTGGTGGGTTGGGTGGGGACTGGAGCTGGGTAACCTGTCCCCGTGTGCAGAGTTGGCAGTGCCGGGTGAGGGCACGAGTAAGTCCCAGACCTGCGTGCCTGTTCAGAAGCCCTCTCCGCCACCCTCAGTAGCCCCTGCTTAATGTTCACAGGATGGCAATGGTTACATCAGCGCGGCGGAGCTACGTCATGTCATGACCAACTTAGGAGAAAAACTAACAGATGAAGAAGTAGATGAAATGATCAGAGAAGCAGATATTGATGGAGATGGGCAAGTCAACTATGAAGGTAAAAACACTGCAGAATCTCTTTAGCTTAGTTTTTAATAGTCTTCCCTTACATATCTATAAACAAGTTAACTGCTTCATGAGACACTGATTTTTATTTATTTTCTTTATGCAGAGTAGAGATGTTGTGTTCATTCAAGCTGCTTTTGAAGATAACCAAAAGTTATGATTATTTGTCTTTACAGAATTCGTACAGATGATGACTGCAAAATGAAGGCCTACTTTCAACTCCTTTCCCCCCTTCTAGAAGAATCAAATTGAATCTTTTACTTACCTCT